GGGGATCTGTTCAGCTGAGTTTCAAATATCTCCAAGGACAGAGATTCCATAACCACATTACCTCAAGGATTCACGGCCCTGTGGATAGGACAGTGGATTGAGGCTTTTTTGAATCCATTTCCGGTTGTCTTAAAACTCCTTGATCCATGTCTGTTATGTGATCTTGGATGATTCGGTTTCTCCACTTGCAAAACTAGAATTACTATTCAAAACCTCTGCATAATTATATTATTGCATTATAAACACTGTCTGAACAACAATTTATTCAAAGATGCTATCACTGCAAAGTAAATGTTTTTAAGTCTTTGGATCTGACCATGGGAGGAATGAAGCTAAAGAAATAAGAAAAAGCTGCCCTTTACGTAAACCAGCAGAATACTTTACACAGTTAGAGTGGCCTGCACACACAAAGGCCTAAACTATTGGCACTTTCAGTTCTTACACTATTTATACTGCTTGCATTTTCAGGATTTATTAATGTTGTACCCTGAGCAGGCAGACTTGGGTGGTGCGTCGACATGCTATTGTGGGACCCTGCGTGCACAACATCTGTTCTGTCACTAAGATCAGAAACGAGGGGATGACACCGGGCTGGCCATGGCTGACTCTGTGCTCAGCCCAGGGCCCCGAGGTCGCACACCTGTCCGGTAACCCAGGGAGGCGGGGGCCCGGCCACCGGCGAGGTGCCTAGGTGCGTTTCACCTGCCGGGAAAAGGGCTCCACGCACCGCGTCCCCAGGGAGCGGAGCCCTCGGGAGGAGCAGTGACACGATCGGCAGGAGGGCGGGGAGCGGAGCCGGGCCGGGCAGGGCTGCGGCCAGACCTCGCACCTTGGCCCGGCGGGGCTTTCCTGGCCCGCACATTGCGGTACTTTCCGGGCACCGTAACCTTTGCTTTACTCCCACTGCGCCCGGAGGGGTGGAAACTCCGGGCAGAAATCACTCGGGGAAGGCGGCAAAGGAGGGGAGATGTGTTTAGGTGACATTAAGAGAGTGGGGGCGGTTTGCCGGCCCGCACCCTGGTCAGGCGCGCTGCACCCATCGGGGCGCTCTGGGGGTCCGGCGGCATTTGTGGGGCGGGGGATGCAGGGGCTCCCATGGGGCCGGGGCGACGGGCGAGGTGCGGCAGGAGCCGGGCGGCGCAGCGTTACGTCCACGGCCTTCGCCCGCCTCCCCGAACAAAGCGGCGCGGGCGGACGCAGTGACTTCACCGCCGGGCCCGCCTCCGCCCGCGGAACCTGCCCCGCTGCCGTCTCCGGGCAACCGAGGGGAGCCGGGGGGACCCGCGGGCCCGGCGCGCACCCGCCGCTGTGGGGCCGGGCCGTTCCGCGCAGCGTCGCCGGCCGCGCCCCCGCGCCCCCCAACCCGCGCCAAATCCCGGCCCCGCGGCGCGGAGGAGCAGCCCCGGCAGCAGCTCGGGACGGGGTCGGCAGCGCCCACCTGGCCCCGGTGGGGGCGGGCGGGGGGCGGCTGCCAGGCGGGGGCGGGGACAGCCGCCGGCCGCCCGTTTCCCCGAGGGAGGTGCGGAGGCGCCGTCGCCGCTCCCTGCGCGGTGCCAAGAGCCTCCCCGCGTCCCTCGGGGAGCGCGGGTGGTGGGGCGCCCCCGGCGTGCCGGGCTGGAGGCGGATGGAGGGAGCTGCGCTCCGCGCTCGGCCGGGGCCCCACGGCCGCCGCTGCCGGGGAGGGGCCGGCCCTGGCGGGGCGCGGGGGCGCAGCGGGCGCTGCCCCCGGGATGCGGCGGCCGGCGCCCGCCCCGCCGAGCGCCCTACCTGTGCCGGGCTCGCCGCCGCCCCTCCCCTGGCCCCGCCGCCGCCGCCGCCCCCGCGGGGGCCGGGACTGAGCGCGCCGCGGCGCCGAGACACAGCCCCGAAGAGAGGGAGCGGGAGCGGTGCCGGCCGCGGCGCATGATGTGGGTGCCGCTGCTGGCGTGCCTCACCGCGGGGATCGTCTCCGTGCCCAGGTGCCAGCGCGGCCCCGGAGCTCTCCTGGGGGCGGCCCGGCTGCTGGCGGCCGTGCCGGGACTCTGCCAGCGCCGTAAGTGTCCGAACGCCTGGGGCTGCTGCCGTGCCCCGGCTGGCTGGGGTTGCGGCTGGGTTTGGTTCGGGCGCGGGGGCCGTGCGTGGGCGGGGGGCACAGCCCTGACAGCCGGGGCCGCTCGCCGCCGCGGGCACACGCCAGCCGGGCCGGGCCGGCGGGCGGCGCATACCTGCAGGGAGAGCCGGGCTGGAGCCGCGGGCCCCTGCCCAAACTTCACACCCTCCCGTGGTTTAACTCTTCATCTTGGGGCGTCCACCCTTTAGGGAGCCGTGGCAGCTCCCGGGGAGCCCGCGGGAGTATCGCACTCCAGGGTACTGCGGCTCCTGAAAGTACACCCTCCGTGAAGCGGCTCACAGAACCGCTGGGGATTCACAAGCTACGGATGGACAGTGCTTAGGAATGGTAACACTCCGTTTATACGGCAGATGAAATAGGGATAGAGCTACGGGAAGATTGTCTTCTGTTTACTTTGGGGTAACGTGTATGCTCACAGCTCCCCGGGAGTCACAGTACTGGTAGTGAAAAAGGTAAACGTGGGTAACCCCTCACTTTGTGGAATTGCTTCCCAAAGCCCCGGGCATCAGTTTTGATGCATGCAGGCTGAGAGCAGTTTGTGCAAATGTACCTTAGATAGTAGAGCAGTTGATCAGACAGAGCGACCAGGTTAGTCAAGTATTTCAAAAAGGATCTTCTTTAACTAGGAATTGTCAGAAAAGCAGATCAAGTTGTCAGTCATCTTTCTGTGGGTTTTTTAGAGCTTGTGGAATACTTGCATTTCCAAGTCTTAAGCCTGGAGTTGATTTAAAATGTTATCATGTAACCTCTAAAAATAAGATTTACAATGGGAACGATGTATTAGTCTTAAGTTCTTTATTGCATATGTGACAAATTCATGCCTAATTCAGTAGGATTTGCCCAGTGCTATTAAAAACAATGGAATAATTTGTTAACTTTCATAGGATAATTTATTTTGCTTTTTTGGCTTTGTATTTTGAATTCAAAACCAAACTAAATGTCAATAGGAAAAATAAAATATATTATTTAATTTCTTATGAAACATGACATCTTGTATGTAGTATCCCAGATTCTTTTTTATGCAGTGCAATTGAGTTGAAAGGCTAATTGAAACTTTATGGAGAGGATGTTTCTGTGCCTGAATGCAGTGTTGTGCTTGCTCATGAGTGTAGCTCCTGGAAACACACTAGGGCAAATAATGCATCAGAAGAGAATGCCACAGGGGAAGGTTGTGCATGGGGCTTTTGTGCCAAAGGATACTTGCTGTCTTTGTTGTGCTTGATAGTGAAAATATACATGGGTGACACGTCATGGGTTATGTGTTTATTGCGACAACAGCTCTCAGATTGGACAGACTGTAACTCAGATAAACCTTGTTTTTTTCTTTTCATTTGAAACCTCTGCTAATTCATGAAAGCTGAAAGTCACACTGAATTCTTTCCTTCATACATAATCACTTTCAAGGCTAGAGCCACAGTTGAAGTAAGAAGAGTGTTGTGGTTTGTTTTTCTGTGAATGAACATGTGAAATTTTTAGTTATTATTGTTGTTTGGTTTGTACATTTGGTTGTGATAGCCAGTGCAGCACCACCTGGATTCTTTGAACATCTGCAGGCTGCTCCAAGAGAGACTCTGGGCAGAAGGTCCATGTACAGATATTTGGCAGCACAGCTGTCTTGAAGCGGCCACTCCTCTTTGCTTCTGCACTGACAGTGCTGGGCATGGAGAGCAGCACTGAGCTGTTCCCGTGCCATCAGCAAGTTCAGTTTATTTATGTGCAGAGTTGGCAGAACCTGCGCATCTGTGTTGAATCTCCAGTTTTAAAAGCGACTGGAATTAATATGAAATGTACATGGAACTCATAGTCTGTTTATTCTTGTTGGAGCATTTGTGGCTCTTCTAACTGAAAAATTAGTTTAATGCTAATTTAAAAACTGAAAAACAGTTTAATGCTACCTGAGGTATTCGCTCTGCAAACTGCAGTTTGAGATGTGAGTTATTGTGTGGGGATAAGTAAAGGTAGAATTTGGCCCAAGATTATAAGGAGCGCAAAAGGAAATCTCACAATGCTGTAAATTTGCAAGTCCCAAATTAAAGGTTCTGTAAGCTCAGATAAAAAGGGCAGTGTTGCCGCCTTCTACAAAGGGTCCCTTGTTCAGTAAGTCTTACCAAAAGGAAATTTGCAGTTCAGTAAGCCAACTATAACAAATACCCAACGTAAGAATGGAGCAAGTTCCATAGGGGTTTCTACAGGTCCCACATTTCTATTAGAAAATTAAAACCTAAAGATGTAAACCAGTGAACTGAATAAAAGCTAGATTCCACAGCAAAAGCATGTGTATGCATTGCTCTAACCAGTTGTGTAAGTGCTCTCTTCAGTGAAGGCAGTCAGTGCCCTTGTCTTCTTCAAAAACTAATCTGTTGAAACTCTTAGTTTTTACCTGCTGTATAAGCACATGGAATATGTGGAGCTTAAAAACAGAAGAATGACTGATTGGTCAAGGTTAACAGAGGACATTGGTTCAAATCTCAGCAGTGTCTCAAACCCAGTTATAATTAATATTAACATCTGAAAACCAAGGTATTAGGTGCTTCCTGAAATATCTAGGTAGTCATTCCTGTAGGAAGCTCAAGTAAACAGTTGACTTGTGATGTGAAAACAGGGACTGGATAGCATGAAAATCTTTATCCCTGACTTTAGAGTTGGAGAATAGTCACACAACAATTTTGTTACATAGTCATGGTTGACAAGTCTCAAATAGCAACCTTAAAAGCTGGCATTTCCAGTCTTCTTGAGATTGTCATTTGGAAAGACCAGTTAGGGGTTTGGGGAATGTGGAGGATCTGTGATCATGGCAGGGTCACTTGTTAATTGATTTATATCAATAGCATGACTTTTGATTCATTAATGTTCTCTCATCAGGTCTTTGGTGCTTTTCCAGTCTTGTCACATCAGATTCCAATATGTGTTCCCTCTAGTTTGAAAGTTTCATAAATCATTACTTTGTTACTTCTCAAAGGAATAAGAAAAGCTATTCAAACCACTCATGGAAGAACAGTTTTTGAAGACAGGTGGTCAGGAAATGTCCCTGAACACACAGAGATGCACACAAAAAGAGTCCAAAATAAATGATACATCATGATAGCTTTAACTGGTGTTTGTCTGTTAATTTCTGTTCCGTGCTCGCCCATTTTCTTTTGAGGCTCAATGAAAGAAGCTGAGTTGTATGAGGTACTCAATGCTGAGACAGTTCTGCTTTTCTTAAGGCTTAAAACAATCCAAGAAGAAAAGAAAAGAAAAAAAAAAAAAAAAGAAAAAAAACATTTCTAATTTCCTGAGTCTGCGTGGGTGATCTGCTCCCTAGGGGTACTGGACCATCTTTGGGAAAGCCAACCTTTTGGTAACCAGCCTTTGGGAAAAACAACCTGGGTGTTTGGGAAGGCTGTAGGTTGCAGTTCTGAGGAATAGCGAGGGGGAGGTTTGTTTATCTGTGCATTGCCCAAGGAGTGTATTATGCCAGTGGTATGCATAAATTTGCTTTGCAAATTGTACACTTCTCATAATCTGTTGCAATTTCATGTCTCTTCAGGGGTTTTATGTGGTAAGGTTTTTTCATTTTATGGTTTTTACAAGTTGAATGAAACTGGTATTTGCCTGTGTAGTATTTACAATGCTTTCCTGCTACAGATGTTTGAGATGGGATAAGACTGGGAAAAAAAGAGGAGATGGGCAGCTTACCAACTAGAAGAGTGATAACCATATTCTTGATGCTCTGAGAAGGTTGCCTTTATGTCATTTCAGATATGGTTTTACTAAGGAAAGTTGTCAAGGGAGCCTGAAGATTACATGCAGTAGATTGCATCTCAGTAGTCGGAATAGCCAGTTGCTTTTTTTCTGGCCCTTATACTTTCAAGGACTGGAACTGCAACAACTGAGAAAGAAAGAATTACACTTCATTAGTCAAGAGGCCTGAATTAACAAATTTGGTTTTCCATTATAGTACAATCTAACTTTAATTTACCTCCCCAGAGCATCAGAAAGATGTCAAAATGTGAACTTCCTGGAAGCTAAAGAAAATCTTCATCAGATGACCCACATCTGGTTGTATGTTCAGCAAGAGGACATTAAAACATCAGATTATATTCTCCCTTATACTTTACAATGTGCATAAATGCTGATAAATTTTTCAGGTGCCTATGAAGAACTTGTGATGACATGTACATGTTGTATCTTTAATTTGGGGCAATTTGTGTTACTAATCTACAGTAGGAGATATGAGAAAAGAAACATAAGATATTTTATTTCCAAATAGTGTAAGTTGACATAGGCTGCTGATATTTATCAAGACTGCTTCAGGAAGTCAGTCAACATTATGATTTCTTTGGTAGAAACTAGTTGTGCCAGGGAAGATTCAGATTGGATATCAGGAGAAATTTCTTCACTGAAGGGGTTGTCAAGCCTTGTAACAGGCTTCCCACAGAAGTGGTAGAATCACCATCCCTGGAGGGATTTAAAAGACATGTGGTGCTTAGGGACATGGTTTCATGGTGGACTTGTGCTCTGTTAACAGTTGGACTCAAGGATCATGAGGGTCTTTTCCAATAATTCTGTGATTCAAGGAAGTACTCCCGACACCCTCTGAACCTCCACATATCTTTCTTATCCTCACCTCTCTGAAAAGCTCTATCACTTATATGAAGGTTGCACATCATTCAAGATGAAAACTTGGAAAACAGAAGCCTCAGATAGATGCATAGCAACTCAAATTTTTCATGTATGTGTATCAGTTTAGAGGATTAGTGGTGGACTTGGCAGTACTGGGTTAGTGGTTGAACTACACGATCTTACATCAGGAGAGGTGTATCTCAGGCATTGGTTAGGATTTAATGAGTTCTGTCTGGATAAGAAGGACAAGTGGAATAGCTTGGTGTCCCGAGCTTTAAAGTTTGCTCAGTGTTCTTAAAATACGTCAATGACACTAAAATAATATGTTATATTTTGAATACTTACATATGTGAACTATCCTGTGCTTTTACTGTAACTGGTAATCCAACTGTCTTCGTAGAAATTTAGCTTCTTATGAGGAAGGTACTGAAAACAAAAAACTGGAGAAGAATATCAGGTCCTTTGTGGTAATAAGCTTTTTGCAGTTTGTTGAGGGTTTTTTTATATGTCAAATTCTTAAGGCCTCAGAGTTTCTTGTTCTATTTGCACCCTCCTTTTCAGCAAAATCTTGTCTTCAAAGCTCATGTATGTCCTACTAGTTGCTGACTTCTGTCTCACCAGTAGAAAGATGTAATAGTTCTTTCTCATCTGCTTAAATAGGCGTAATTTATGATGAACAAAGTAGGATATGGTCTGTTATTCCTTTCTAAGCACTTGAACTTTATTAAATTGTGTTGTTTTTGTTTTGTTTTTTTTTTCTTTTGGCAGTTTACAGAAATGGACTTGAGCTATTTAGTTTAACTTTTGGGAAGGAAGTGAAGCTCTAATGAATTAGTTCACTGTCCACTGTAATAGAACCTTTCTTCAAGAAGAAAAGTAAGCTGCTTGCCAGCCATTCAGGATTCCCCCTTGTTCTGGTGGCAGAACAAGAATAACCCCCTGAGCAAAATGTAAGTGTTTCAGGATGATTGGAATTTACAGCATTAGAAAGCTGCCAAAAAAACAACTTCTAGCTGAGGCTAAATTGGCCTAAATTGAAAACTTTGCAAAGCTCATAATTGACTTTTCTCTTTATATGTTTCTCTGCTTCCCATGACTTCATTGTCATATGCCTGTGGTGACTTCTCCTGCTATTACCCATGGTGACAGTAATGAATCTGAAGTATTTATGATCATCAAAAGATACTGAGACAAAGATTTTAACTGTGATTACTGGAGGAGCAAACCTCTGTAGCATCAGGCAGGTGGAATGATCTTCCTGGGTAAACAAATTTTTATTTTTCTTCAGGATTCTTCTCTGCTCACTGACTAGGGAGTGAAGTTGTTAGCAGCAGTATTTCACTCATTTCAGATCTTGAAGACTTAGGTATTTTTGGAATTTTGCTGTTGTTGTAGCTGTGTTATGAATACAGCTGCATGATGTATGGTGGTATCACAAAAGTAGTCCAGTTCTGAATAAGCCAGTAACTGCCCTTTCCAAAATAAATTCTGTTCCTCCTCGGTGTTCAGTGGAATTAGGCTAAGTGAATTCTGTTTGTTATACTGTACTTGAGAGTACAATTTATTTCCGTTATCTCTGCAGGATGACAAGGGTTAGTACTGTGCTGAGGACAACTTGCTTCTCTCAGATGGGAGCTGCTTGCTGGAAACTGGATCAAGTTCCCATCTTTTTGCTCAAACAGGAGTACCAGGAAATAAGAAAACTTGTGGCAACGTACCCTCTGGTACAAATGACACAAAATTACCTAGATAAAACTAATTACATAAGCAAGCATGCTCTTCCAATCTCAGCAAAACTGTTGGAGTGCATTTTGCTGTCAAAAATATTTTGACATTACTTCAGAACATTAAATAAACCACTACCTGTTTAAAACCTTGAATTTGTGTGTTTGAAGTCTGTCCCTTAGAGAGCATTTAAGCTGCACCTGTAGACCATACGTGTTAATACTTCCTCGAAGGAGCACAAGCAGAATTTTGCATCCAAACAGACTGTATGCACCAGTAATTATAGTAAGTATGTGAGTCTGCATATTTTATAGCCTCAGTCATGTTTTGTGTAATCTTCATGCCCAAATTATAAAAATTTACCAGGCGAAACCTAAAATAAAGGTTGGCCAGCGTCTTTCCCTAGACAGATATGGTTAGGGTTTGAGTCTTTTCATTTAGAAGAAAACATCAGAAAGTTTTTAACAAATCCCATTTTTCTCAGGGTAAATAACTACGTTTGGAGATTGAAAAGCAAATTACTGAAAAATAAATACCAAACACTTGGTATTTTAAAAGGCAATCATATTTTTTAAATAGCTGTCCTGAATAAATGCTCCTCCCAAACTTGTGCACTTCATAGAAGTCCTTACGGAGTGGTGGTTATCCTCTCTGATACCAGTCTTAGCTTTTACTTAATATCATCAATGTTTTCTCATTGTGAGTGTAAACTGTGTTTTATGTATTTAGTGTTTTGTTTAAACCCTGACATGCCTCCCTAATATACACACGTGCACAGCCTTTGGTGTGGGGCTTTTGGCTTGTTTCAGGAAAATCTTCTGTAGAAGCACAGTTCAGTTTATCATTTTGTGTTCAGAATTAGGGAACTTGTTCCATTAGATTTTCTGCTTTGAGAATTAGAGTCTGAAATGCAGAGTTAACTTCGTTTCGAATCACAGTGTATGCAGATAAAAGAGAATTAAGTGAGCTCCTTTGCATTGCTATGGAAAAAGAACCTGTGGATCAGGTGGTTTGTGGTGACGCTGCAGGGAAAGAAATAGCTCTAAACTATTCTTGCCCATCCTCTGCACTGCTTCTGGGTTTGTGAATGAAGACAGTGTCAGGATGAGTAGTGCTCTTATGGGGCAGAAAGCAACAATTCTGTGACTATTAGATATACAATAAAAAGATAGATTAAGGAGGTAACTGGGGGTTGAGGGCCAGGTTTGAAGAGATGGAGCTGTAGAAGGTGGTGGGAGAAACACCTTGAGCTTGTCTTTTATTAAAGGTTGAACTACTTAAGCTAGCAAAAAATAGCATTTATGTCTACCTTTTTATCCATCATGACCTCCTAATTAGGTAAAGACTTTATAGAATACAGAGGAACATATTGACCGTTCAGGATTGTTGATGTGCTACTTGCTAGCAGTGCTTACTAATATACAAGAAATTAAATTAGTAATGCTACATGGCAGTAGCCATTCTGGGCTTTGTTCAAGCAGAATGACTGTATCCAAGCTGACCAACTCCATGGGAGGTTCTAGGAGCTGGAAATGACTGGAATACAATGATTTCTATGCCCATATTCCATCTTAGGAAACAAGAAAATTAACACAGCACCACACATCTTGAAGTTTCCTTGGAATCAAGGGATTTAATAAAAAAAGATTTAGGGTCTCTGGTTCCATTAGCTTTGCATTTTTATTGGTGCAAAGCTGTGCAATCGGACCATCAACTCTGTGCCATAAAAGCTAATGACTGTGGGAAATGAGTCTCTTCTGATGACGTAATCCTAGTAAATTGTCCTGTATGTTTTTGTTTATAAGAGACCTGATAGGTTGGTTTCAGTAGTCTTTGACTCATTGTTTGCAGGCATGCAACACATCAACAAAATTTAACCATCTCCCGGAAAAGCAGGAAGTTTTGTAGAAAGGAGAGGCTACAAGTAAAGTTGGCCAAGAAACAAAAATTGTATTGTGAAAAATTTCAAGGTTGCATTGCTTGTTTTTATTCAGTGTTGTGGCTTGGGAACAAAGTCAGTCTGGAGTAGTCAATAGCTCTGTCTCTCACAGTCAAGGCCACGTTTGAGGCTGTGGTTTTAATGTTGTGTTAGTGAGTCCAAACTGCTATACGAGCAGCTTCTTTGGGTAATACCTTTTCCAAAATGCTGTTATATACACCTTTCTGACAAAATTAAAAAAAAAATCATATATATATATATATATATATATATACATATGAAAAGTTGAGTTGCTATGCATCTATCTGAGGCTTCTGTTCTCCAAGTCTTTGTCTTGAATGATGTGCAACCTTCATGTAAGTGATGGAACTTTTCAGAGAGGTGAGGATAAGAGAGACACATGGAGGCTCAAGGGGTGTCAGGAGTACCTCCTTGAATCATAGAATCATTAAGGCTGTAAAAGACCTTCAAGATCCTTGTGTCCAACTGTTAACAGAGCACAAGTCCACTATGAAACTGTGTCCCTAAGCACCATATGTCTTTTAAATCCCTCCAGGGATGGTGATACCACCACTTTTGTGGGAAGCCTGTTACAAGGCTTGACAACCCCTTCAGCGAAGAAATTTCTCCTAATATCGTATCTAAACCTCCCTTGGCACAACTTGAGGCTATTTCCTTTTGTCTTATTGCTTGTTACCTGGGAGAAGAGGCCAACCTCCACCTGGCTACACCCATCTATTAGGTTGTAGAGAGCAGCAAGTTTCCACCTGAGTCTCTTTTTCTCCAGGCTAAGCAACCCCAGCTCCCTCATCCGCTCCTCATGACTTGTGTTCCAAAGCCTTCCCCAGCTTTCTTGCCCTT